ATTAAAATCTTGGTAACATTGACAATGAAATAATACATAAGAAACTTTCCAAAAATCAAGGATAGGTAGGACTAATAACCAACTCCTTGGTGACTATGCACTTCCAGTGCCATCTAAGTGTAAATACAATAAATTAACTTCTATTATAGTGGGGATGGAATGCATTCTTGCCATCCGTGCTAATTGGGTTAATAGCAATTACCTATTTAGTTAGTATCAACCTACATGGCCTAAATGAACTGAAAGTGCTAAGAGAATTAAATGTAAATCTTAATTATCTGCTTCAGTATTTTCATCAACATTTTAGATGATGGCTGTTTAACTATGGTTAACCCACTAACGCCAGGTGTCCCACAGTGTGATGCCTGGAGAATGGACCATTGCTGGGCGTCTCATATGAGTGACGCTGTTGTAACCGGCCGTCTGCCGGGTGTCTAACCCATGAGATGTAATATAATGACATCAGTTATGTCTATATGGATAGTTCCAAGACTATTTCTAAGACTATTATTTTTTTCACATACATTAGTTACCATTATTTATGTCATGAGGCAATATAAAGATGTGAAGTTCTGAAGTCATATAAAGGATGGAGGGAGTAGGAGAGATATAAGGAGAGAGAAAGGGGAGGGAGGAAGGAAAACAGAGATAGATAGATAGATAGACAGACAGGGAGTCAGGCAAGTATGCATAGGTAGGAAGAGGTAGATAGAGGGACAGAGGTGTGTGTGTGTGTGTGTGTGTGTGTGTGTGTGTGTGTGTGTGTGTGTGTGTGTGTGTGTGTGTGTGTGTGTGTGTGTGTGTGTGTGTGTGTGTGTGTGTGTGTTTGTGTGTGTGTTTGTGTGTGTGTTTGTGTGTGTGTTTGTGTGTGTGTTTGTGTATGTGTGTGTGTGTGTGTGTGTGTGTATGTGTGTGTGTGTGTGTGTGTGTGTGTGTGTGTGTGTGTGTGTGTGTGTGTGTGTGTGTGTGTGTGTGTGTGTGTGTGTGTGTGTGTGTGTGTGTGTGTGTGTGTGTGTGCGCACGTGTGTGTGTTTTGAAAGTAAAGATGCTGATTGTAATGATGTCACTTCATCTTCGTGACATCACTTCCTTATCTTCATGATGTCACTTCATCTTTGTGATATCACGCATGCACACATACACACGTACACACAGTGATATCCATATGCACACACACTCAGACAGAGGAAGTGATGACACTTAGAGCTGCCATCTTGTTACCACATAGAAGTAAATGAAGTCACCTACGAAGGTGATTTCAGTACAAAGGCAATGATGTGATTGGTCACATGTGACATGTGACTTATGCTGTTTTGACCTTATTGGCAACTGTTGCTTCCACATTTCCTGTCAGGTTGAAGTGCGGGAATTTTCCCGCATATATTGAGATGCTTGCACCTCATTCATAACTTACTTTGAGGTTGATCATCGACCTCATCAGCACTTCCTGCAAAGGTGCCTCAGTCGTGTATTTTGCACCAATCATTGTTGTTTCCCAGCTTTTCCACCTTTTTTGACTTCTCCTCTGAGGAGAGTGGGGATGAGTGGCACCCCAGTAGGGTGGAAGATGCCTTTGACCCGTTTTGACATCTCCAGTTTGGACGAAGAATTGAACTATGTGTCTCAGGTGGACACTACCATTGATAGCAATGAGCCTCTCTCCAGTGTGGAAGTTGCAGAATGCTACATGGGAGCAAGAAATATGTATGGCAATGAAGAGACAATGTCCCCCACTGCCACAGTTTTAACCCCTTGGTGCCGGGTGACGCCGATCGGCGTGTACACAAAGAGCTCAAAAGCTGGCGTGCAGCTGAACGAGCTGGCGGCGCGCCAAAGCACGGCAAGCCAGTGATTCGGGCTGATGTCCCCTACTCACGTGCTCAAAGTCGGCGCGCCGCCTTTCTTTGTTTAAGCGTAGAGTTTTTTTTTTCTTTTGTACACCTGGCGCCATTGGGTTAAAGGCGATCCATGTGTCAAGGTGACGCTGGATGTGTCCAGCACGCCCTTGGAGATCCTCGGAGACTGATATTGTTTTTGCATTCTTTCCATTTTTATCCATATTGAGTAAATATCTCTTGCATTGAGCAGTCAGAATGTATTACTTATTAGTTTTTCTTTTCCACTCCTACAGGCATGTAGTTGCCTGCCCTCCTGCCAACTCTCCTCACATGAGGAAGTGGACACCCATATCCGGTCAGATCATGGCATACACCTTAGGATCCGCGTGGTAATGAGGTTGTTGGATCTACCAAATTACTGTGACTACTGGTTGACCACCCATGTCCTGTGTCATGAACTCATTGGTGAGGTCATGATAAGGGATCGGTTCGACCAAATGGCGACTCACCTCCATTTTGCCTACTTAGAGGAAAAAGATTCACTCCCAGAGGACAGGATGTGGAAGCTCCGACCAGTCAAGGACTCCCTCAACAACTTGTTTCAGTTGCATTCGTGCTGGGGCAGGACATTGCCATAGACAAATTGTTATCAAAGTTCCGTGGATGGCTAGTCTTCAACCAAGAGGGCGAGGTTTGGGTTGAAGGTCAATAAGCTTTGTGCCAGTACTGGCCTGGCTGCAGGGTACACCTCCTGCTCTTGGGGGAGTTCAGAGAAGGGGCCGACTCAACAAGTTGTAGAACGTCCAACCACTGCAGTGAGGCCTGCTCTTCATCAATGGCATACCATGTCGGAGTTGGGTTTGCTCCAGGCAAGATCGTTGATGTAGTAGTAGAAGCAATTGCGCCGATTATCATGTTGGCTTCTGTACATATGGTTGTTTTGAGGTATGGCATGCCTCCTCATGATGTGGCGCTCAAAAAAAGAAAAAGAAAAAAAGAAAAGAAAGAAAGAAAGAAAAGAAAAGAAAAAAAAGGTCTTCTTTATAAAAACTCTGATTTACCCTCATGTTATGTTGGAAAATATGTTACTGAGAGTGACGCACATGGCATTATAAGAGAGTCTGGACTCTATACTAAAACTTCCAACCATTGCAACAAGTGTTGAGATTGGATTTTAGCTTTATGAGCATGCAAAACAGTGTGTTTGGTTCTCAAAAGCTTAAACTTGAAAATAAAACCAAGGCTATAAAATGGGGAGTAAAACTGGCATTTGTGGAGGTTCCCAGCACAGCCACTTGCTATATTTGCCACCCGAAAAATAGGGTGTTTGGCACTCCGAAAGACCCGTCGCTAGTGGGTTAAAACTATAAGAAATCAAACTCTCCAACCCATTTTCTCATTAATTGAGCCTTTGGATTCAGTAACTCCCTTAAACTAGAGTTTCCCTTTTTCAAACTGCTTAAGGCTGGTAAATGCTGTTTTTGTACCAGGTGTATCCCAGATGACCTCCCAACTTCAACTGAAGTACCAGCTTCAAGGGTTGTTGGTTCAGGGAGATTAATACTCATTTTTGCTAATATTCCCACATGGCTATTGGGCCATCAGCATTCTCTGGATTCAATATATATTGAAGGCTTCATAATGTTAGCAGAAAGAGATCAGAGACTAATAACATTTATCCCACTGATACTGGATGTGATTGTTGTGATTAAATTTCATTATCTGATTTTTAACTTAGATGACTCTACAAATGCTTCATAACTAGTAATCAATGACTTTAGATCTAGCCAGTTTCTTTAACTTAGATGACTTTACAACCACTATATAAACAATATTGATACTAATACTTTTACTACTAATAATAACAATATTAGAAATGAGAAGAGTATCAACTCTTTGAAGACAAAGAACATGATTTTGATGTTATGGTTACTATTGACTGGGTTGTGGATGGTACTGCATAACAACCTAACCCACTTCATAACAAAGGGAGATATTTTTTTTCTCTGATAATACCAGCATTATTTGCTTGGCATCACTATTAGATAGGGCACCAAAAGTGAAGAGAAGCATTCAATTTTTTCAAACATTTAGTTATATGCTCCAGCTATAAGAAATTAAACCCCACAATCCAGATGATGTGACCATCATGTTATGAAAAAAAATTGGCTTGAGGGGCAGGTGATGTGAACATGCCATCATGGAAAAATTTGGCTATGGGCTGAGATGAAGTGAACTTGCTATTGTTAGTGCTTTGGCTGAAGGCCAGGGTGAAGGGAAGGACTTGCCACAAGTGCACAAAGCTCTTGGATAATGATTAGACTCATTACAAAATTGCAAAATTACCTTGGCAACCCTGAAATAAAGTCTGTCCCCCTAATGCCAAGTCAAAAGTGAAAAAATGAAAGAAAGAAAGGAAGAAAAAATGGTAAATGAATAAAGAGGAAATTCAATCCAGTGGCACTGATTAGTCATACTGTCTACTGTCATTTTCGTTTTGCACATAGATGGCTCCAGAAGTGCTCAGCCACCATGAAGCCAATTAGTAAGCTTTTCTAAAAATCAAGGATAAGGGTAACCAGGTGAGCTTGGTACAACTAATGACTGACTTTTTGGTGATTGTGAACTTGTGGAGCCAGATATGTATAAACAAAAAGACACAGTGGACATGGCATGTATCCTAGCCAGCCCCTCAAGGGTGGGTTATTTTAAATTAGAGTGGTGCTTGTACAGGTTGCTATTGGATTTTGGAATCCTAAAGGAAAAACATTGTTCTGTGATGTTGGGTTAGTTATTTTGTAGGCACTGAGCATGGGTTGGTGATTTGTTTTTCATAAGTAGAAACTGAAAATGTTAAATGTCAGATGATAAATGCTGAACCAATTCAATGTCATTAAATACCATTATTAATATGAAGTAAATCTGATTTTCAGTGCTATAAAAATGAAGAGAGGAAGAAAAGAAAGAAAGATGAAAAAACTCCATTTATACCTGAGGACTCCCCTTCTTGGGGATAAGGTGATGCTAACTAAATAGTAAATATAGTAATATCCACCCTCTGGACTAGTCACTAGGACAAACCCTTTATGAGATCTAACACACCCTCTCGTTAAAAAATTCCCAACCCACTAAGTCCTATCGAGGCCAATGTATTTGCAGTAC